CCCCATCCACTGATGTTGTCACCCCATTTGGGGTCACAAGCCACAGTTCAGAAACTGCTGTATCATTTCATCCCAAGGTGAGGCAGGGCTCCCATCTTGTAAAAAGGGACAGATGAGCCTCCCTCTAACTCAGAATATCCTGGGAGATAGAGCCGTATCTAATGAAGATCATTTCCTGGCTCTGTGCTGGCTCTGTCCTCTACTGGTTCTTTGTGCATGTGTAGCTCCAGTGATTATAGTCTATCACAACAGTACATGGTATTGCTCCAATTATAGGCCAACCCTGAAGGGTGGTTACAGAGAGGATGGAGCTAGAACAGGGGTGAGCAAAATATGGTCCACGGGCCAGATTCGGCCCACCAGGCCATTCTGTCTGGCTTGCGGGGCCCTAAAAATTTTAGTAAATTAATATTTATTCACTCCTGGCAGCCTGTCAAAGCTGACAGGACCCAGGGGTAGTAGGACCCAGAGGGAGCCCTCATCAGGCTTGAGCAGCCCAGCCCCACTCTACCCCCAACCAGTTCCCTACTTTCCTGCCCCTGTCCTGCTTCAGCACCACGTGGCTCCCAGTTGCATCACCGGACCGTGGAGCATGGGACCAAGCTGGTACACATGCATGCGTGCGTGCACGTGTGTGTATGTAGGCTCATGGGAAGTGTGTGTGTTTATAGAGTGAGTCCCACATGCACACCCCACCATACACATGCACCCACACACCCCCTTGCACTGCCATACACAAACCCCAGCCACCCTTCCCCCACACACATCCCTCCACAAGCCCCATACCCACCCATAGCCCACATATCCACACACATGTTCCCTCACCCCACAAAGCCACCCCCCACAACATACAAAAGTAAGACTTCATTTTAAGCTATTTTGCGATCATCTCTATGTACACAACACAAACACATGTAAATCAGGTCAACAATATATTTTAAATCATATTAATGAATATTGTAGATGTTCACTTTTTAGAATATAATTTGGTATTTTTCTGGTTCCGAGATGGCAAATCCCTTGCTGAAAGGAATATTTTTGGGGCCAAGGGAAGGGGCAAAGGGGCAAAGGTCAGGGGCCAGTGGGCAGGACTTAGTCACAAGATGGTGCTCAGGGGTGGGGCAGCTGTCAAGGGGCAGGGCTATCTATGTGGCCCTTGACAGCTTCCCAAAACTCGGTAAGCGGCCCGCCGCCCAATATAATTGCCCACCCCTGAACTAGACTATTCTTAGTGGTGGCAGATGACAGAACAAGGAGCAATGGTCATAGAATCAATGAGTCAGAAGGGACCTAGACAAATCATCTAGTTTGACCCCCTGCCGTGGGCAGGAAGGAGCACTGGGGGTTGCAGGGGTCATAAGTTGGTCTCAAGTTTCTTCAATGAAAGTTTAGGTTAGATCAGGGGTAGGCAACGTTTTTTGGCTGGAGTGCCAAAAAACACCACAATGCCTACCTTGGAAGGTGCCAGAGTGCCGGCATGGCAGAAAAACAAAATGAGGGCAGGGGGTATATGGTAGGATGCTCTGCTTGTGCCCCTTGCCCCTGAGCCCAGGCTCTGTGGCTGGCAGTAGCTGCCCTGGCTCTGGGTAGCTGCTGGAGCCCAGGCTGCTCCCAGCAGGACTTGCAGTATCCCAGCTGCCTGCTGGGAGTAGCCCGGGCTCCCAGCTGGCAGCAGCTACCCAGAGCTGGGGCTGACTGCAGCTGGGAGGCTCCAAACAGCTGTGCCAGGCTCCGGAGCCCCCGCGTCAGCTCTGTACTGGAATGTGAACACGCGCCTGGAAGTGGGTGGTGGGAAGGGCCTGAGGCAGCACATCCCCAGTCTCTTCCCCGCTCCTGGCACAGAGCTGGTGACTGGGCTCCAGAGCCTGGCGCAGCTATTTGTAGCCAGCCTGGGCTCTGGAGCCCAGTCGCCAGCTCTGTGCTGGGAACAGGGGAGAGACCAGGGTTGTGCTACCTCAGGCCCCTC